TGTGTTTATTATTTTTTTTAACGATTGGTATATTGTTAGTGCCGCAAAAACCGGGTGTACAGAGTTTGTCGCGAACACGGGCCCCAAGTCTTACATACATTTGGGAGGTCTTCTAGTCCCAGCCTAAAATAAACTACACTTTACATACACACAATTATTTAATAATATTATATTATTATTTTATAATAAAAAGAAACTTTATTTAAAATGCAAGTAAGGATGATATAATATTTTAGAGTAATATAATATTTATTTAACAATGAGTCCATTGAGTATTTGAGTAGGCATACAACATACCTATCTAAACTAGGTACTTAAATTAATTTACTACATAAATATGTAGTGAAATATAACATACAACATTTGTAGGTATTTAATTTGATATATATACATATATTATACACTAACTGATGTGAAATGTGTTTTAAAACCTAAAAAAAATTGATACTTATAAATAAGACGTACAACAAAAATAAATTCTAGGAAGGGGCCTTATATAATTACCGCACACGGGCCTCCTATTTTGTTGTTACGGCACTGTATAGTATATTGACGAGGTACGTTCGACGACTGAATTGTATTTTTATTTTTGATCAAAATGAAACGAAGTAATTGAAGGATACTACCTTTTTTTCAAAAATTAGAAATTCAATATTATAAATTTATATTTTTTAAAATTTAATGTTATTCATAGAATCGTCTTAACAGCTTAACATTGTTAGCTGTCCATAGAGAAATCGCAATTGATGCCAAGGAATTTCTTGATATGATGGCTCAAAAATCAAGAAAACTCAATATTATTTTGTAAATTTAATATTTTAACTAACAAATAATGTTTTTTAATTTTCATTTAATGTATGTTGTTTTTATATAAAAAAGGGGGTGTGGGGGCTTTGCCCTCCCCCCTATTAAAAAATCCTGAGAACGCCTCTGGTGTGACATATGCAAAGTTTCTGTCATAGTTCACACATTATCGTCGACTGTTCAAAATACTCGACATGGGCAATGTCAATATCGACAGAATTAATTTAGACAAAAACTTGAAAACTACCCATATATTATTATTCATTTTATGTAACGAACATTAGAATTGTATGCATTTTCTCACATGATGTAACCCCTTTCACAAAATATACCTACTAAACTATTTCAAGTATCGAGTACTATCAGGGCTAGCTCAAGCAAAAATAGTGCACTAGGCAAAATCAAATTATGTTACTTCTAAAAAAAAATTGAGCTTTAACTTTAACGTCGTCCCTCCCGCTATTTCTATGTATCATACCTACCTATGTGAAAATTTTAGTATTTAGATTTTAGGAATTCATATGATCAAATATTAATTGCTTTTTAAAATATTTTTCACTTTTAACCTTACAAAAAATTAAACCTTTGTCATAAATTTAAAAAATTAAACAAATTATTATTATAATAATATTGATAAAATAAAATAAAACAAGCTTAATTTTATTTAAAATTTAACTTTCTTGCTTTTAGTGAAACAATAATTTTTTTTAATATTTTAAGTTTTTTGAAACTCTTCTCGACTATTACAGCAGTTACAAGTTAATTCAATTTAGTTCTTAATACCACATAAGTATTGGGGTATAGTTCTATCAACTTGTTTCTATATAAGAACTGATTTCGGATAAAATTTTGAAATACCACCCCTACTACAGTGCCGCTTTAGGCAGGTGCTTGCTCGCTAAACCTTTAATACTCTGAGTATTAATTGTTAAGTTGAAAGAGCCTTAACTAGTTTAAGTTAAAAATAAGTATAGAATCACCAGCGTCTAGCATTACATATGAAAAGTTAACGGCATCCGAAAATAATATAATACTGATTATTTAATATATGTACTCATTACTATTGTGATAAAATGTTAAGAAAATTTTAAATGAAAAAGCGAGAAAAAAGTGTAATTTGCTTATATATTGTATTTTTTTCCCAAAGTAAGTACTACATTAGTAGGAAGGCAGTAATAAATAAATGATTTGTAGCCATTTAGTATCACTATATGACATCATATAATAATAGGGTTGTCGTACGTCCCGGAAAACCGGGATTGTCACTGGTTTTGGACTTCGTGTCCCGAAAAATGTTTTCGGGACGTCCATATATCCCGGCTTAGACGTCTTGAAGAAATGTAGTATTGTTTAATTTTTAATTTCGACCAGTTTATCTCAAAGTATATTTTTAATCGTAATCGATTAACAATATATAATAAAAAAATAATATGTAATTTACACATGTAATATATTTTATTTTACAAAAAGATTTTTAAATATTATATTGGCGGCTATTAATGGTCTTCTTCAGTGACGTATACATAACTTTTGTATGGGGGGGGGCGGGGGTGATTTGCAAACAAATCATAATTTTTATTTTATTGTTATTTTTTTTTTTTACTTTTCTAACGCCCTCACACTAAGAACATTATTTTATAACATTTAAAAAAATGCCTAGGGGAACTGACCCCACATACCCACCTTGTATACACCACTGGTCCTCTCAGTATATTAAAAATTATATAAAAAGTTTATTACTCAATAATTTGTTTGTTTTATCCCGGTTTCGCCTTATAAATTTATGGCAACCCTATATTATAATTATGTAAAAATTAAAAGTTTATTTTGTTATGGAGCGCATAAGTGATAAAGTTGGGCACCATTGGTCTCTCAATGTTTTAATACGTGTTTATATGAAATAGTAGGTAGACATTATTATAATTGTATAATTATAATAATAGTATTATAATATTGTTATAGGATAGACGGCCAATGTTGGAGCCATAAGACTTGTGAGCTGTATGTATACACTATGTAGTCGAGTGAGAACATGAAAGTGCGTAATTTATTTGACCGGTTATATGTATTAATACAATTTTTATCAAACAACAACCTTCCCCCTCTCAATAAATTCGGCTAGGTTTACAAAATGTGGTAGGGAATACATTGGACAATTTATCAGGTCCGTTTCACACCAACTTGTTAATGATATATGTATACACTATAATTCATATTGCTAATGTGAAAGTAATTGTCAATAGTTTATCAACATATACATATATGTACACATTAAGATTGGTGATTATGTGCTTATTGATTTGTTGTATTTTTAAATCATCGAATAATTTAATTTCGAACACTCAATACAACTACAGTATAGGCTTCATAAAAACCGTTTGAAAATTGTAAATGTAATACATTTTCAGTATGATCATAACATAATTTACATTGGAAGTGATTTAAGATTTTGAAAATGACTCGGGTCTGTTTGAAACTATTATAATTCATAGGCTGACATATGCAATAAATGTATTTATTTTTAACAGTAGGTATCGAATTTCTGCAATATTGAGAACAGTTTGAGTTTCATTCTTAAATTATAGTAAGATCATATATAGACCTAAGGGAACTTTTAAATTTATTAATACAGTTATTTTGATTATTAATAAAATAATATAAAATCAATTATTTATTTAAATCTGTTACAATAATAAGTAATTGAAGAGTGAATATGATGTACCATAGACATTTTTTTTTCGAGCAACAACTGTATTTTGTTATCATTTCAAATTTAAAATAGTCAATAAAATGATTGATTCATAGAATTAATAATAAAAACTATAAATCAACGGAATAGGTTTAGGGTAAACTACGCTCGCAATTATTGTTATTATTTACAATTACAATTACAGTTACAATTAATATTATTAATGCTCGTTGATAGTTCTAGACCTAATTCGTAATTTACGAATCGCAAATGTTAGGATAGTGTACATATAATAATGAACTAATGAATAGTGGCAGTGGTGCAACCAGGGGGATCCCCGGGTCCGTATCCCCCCATTGAAACGTGTCGTATCTTTCTAAAATGATAATGTTTGGCAAAATTGAATAATTGATTCGAAGATTAATTTAAGAAATTTCACATTAGAAAGACTCAATGGATCAGCTACTCTCAGTGTTTACTACGAAGTTAGTGTAACACCTGAAAATATAACATTTAAGCTGTACAAAACATTGCTTAGATTTCAATCTATAATCTTGTACATACATTTTACCTTTTTTTTTTTTACATAATACATTTAATTATCATTCAATTTTACATTATAATTACAATATTTACAATAACCAAACTATTAAATAATAATTAAATTTGCTACAAACTTTAAAATAATAAAATTTTTGAACCCCTCCACCCTTAAAAAAATCCTGTTATGCCAATGAATAGTGGGTTCAAGTAAGAAGTTTATTCCTAAAATGTGAAAACAATTTTTGGCAAAATCACACTTACCACATCATCTGAACCTTGCAGACTATTTAGATAGTAATGAGTAACGAATAATAAAATTTAATATTTTAATACTAACTAAAATAAAATTAATTAAATATTTGCAATATAATATTTTCATTATGCGTCAACACTACTATATTATAATGCGCTTCTATTATGTTTACAATTGGAACACATTTCTATGTACAATGTATGATCTCTCATATTGCTGCAGTAGGAATGCAACCTAAAACCATGAATATGTGAAATTGGGAAGCAATTTATGAATATAATAATAATTAATAACCAACGGCCAATTTTAATAGTGCATATGTGTATTTCACCACTTTTAGCAACCACTGAAAAAATAACAAAAATACTCATGTTTTCTTTAAATTAATATTTTATTATATAAATATCATCAGACTTATTTGTAAGCAATATAAAATAAATTATGTAAGTCCATATTTAATGATTAATTTTTACAAAAACATGCTTTAAAATCCAATATATTATTAATTAAATTCATAGATGTAAGATATTACCTAACATATTACAATATATATAAATTGCATCACCTTAATAAATGTAAAGTGTATGATATAAAATTATAGTATTTGCTGCATAAGAACAAAAATCATATGTTTCCAACATCAAATAATTTATCTAGAAGCTAAATATAACATAATATGTACAATAATACAATTAATTTAACTTTAATACAAATATAAAACTGAGTAAAATAAAATAACTCTAATAAACAATCAACATAGAAACAAAGAATTATAAATTGTTAATTTCGTCTCAATTTAGTCCGAAGTTCCATCTCTTTGTAATTGATCTTTGCAGTACCTCTTCTGGATCTTGTTGAAGTTGTAGAAGTTGTTGAATTTATAGAATCAGTTGAATCGTTGATGTCTGATGCAATCATTGTTTCATTTGATTTGCGGGTCCGACGCTTTCGAATTGTAATATTTTTTAGTATACTTGTTTCAGGAGATATTAGCTCACTAGGAGGCCTTTCATTTTCTAAAAATGTGTTATTCAGACTAAAATTTGAAGTGTTTGTTGACTTATCAGTATGAACTTCATTTAATGTCAATGTTTTCTTACTATCTGATAAAGGTGTTGCATTTGAAACTAAAGAATTATCACTCTGATGTTCAGTATTATGAATATCAGGATTTTGACTTGATTGATTATACAAATAACTTGGTCCTTCACCTAAATCCTCATTTAGTTGACGATTAGGAGATTTTGAATTTTGAACAGATTTTGAATTTTTTAACATAACTGCAACGTCTTTTAATCTTACATATGGTTCTAAATTAAGATTACACTGTGGTGATACTCTAAACAAAGATTTTCTAGGTCGTTTAGGTGTTTGTTCAGAATTGTAATTTTCAGTCTTAGGACTTTGAATTACAGGACTTTCAACAATAGGAGACATTTCTAATCGTCTAAGTGAAACAGCTGGTTGATTAATAGTCATACCATTTATCATAGGTCGTACAGTTTTTGTTTGTCTTTCTTTTTTTTCAGTAGTTTGAATTTCACTGAGTGTATCAAATTTACGTATTGTATGTATATCTTCCATAATACTTGGAATACATTGTGACAGTGTTACTAATGCAGGTATACACTTTTGTAAATTCTGTTCGATTAATTCATGTTTTTTAGAGATAGCCCGGTGCATTGCAGTTTGTTGAATATTTGCATTTTTGAGAGAATTATTTTCATTTTCTAATGATAATTTAACTAGCAATAAACTGTTTCTAGTTATTGATAATTCTTTGTTTTGAGAAGATAATTCTTCAATACGGTTACGCAGTTTAGCATTGATGGCAATAGAACGATTAAGTTTTTTTACATAATTGTTATTATGAATATAAGAAAGTTTTTGCCGATTTTTATATAATTTTGTTTTAGGAGCCATCGTATAGTATTACTTTAGAGTATAATGTTACAAACGTCTTCTTTAATTCTACCTATAAAATAAATCAAAAAAATATGAGTTATTACAATAATAATACATTAAGAGCTTCAATTAATAGAAAAAAGGTAAAATATAGAGATTGTGTAAGATGTAGGTACAGGTGTAATGTAAATGCATTGTAATACACATAGAGTGTAATGCAGGTGCGGATTTAGGGGGGCTATGGGTGCTCAGGCACCCCCTGTCGTCTTAGCCACCAACAAAAGTAATTTATATTATATTATATTAAGGACATAAACAATCACAAGTTAATCACACATTGGACTGGTCTCATTTGTTATTTTTCAAAATAAAAATAATAATAATATCCGTATTTTTCGTAATCACCATCACATACAACAATAACACAGACAAATGTTTAAAAATAGCTATACAAAAATCGATTCCAAGTGGATTAGATGGATTCTAATCGGCATTAGATTAAAAAAAAAAAAAAGTTAGCATCAATAAATCAAATACAAAATAGTAATTAAAATAAATAGAAAGATGTACATTTTTTTTATTTTTGAGCACCTCCTGTTAAAATTTTCTGGAACTGCGCTCGGTGTAATGTAAATATGTATAATACAAATAATATATAATATTATATAATTAATGAATCATTGATAGGTATCTAATATAATTTTTTTATACAATGGTGTTAAATTTGTAGGTATACAATTTGTTTTCTCTCACTAAGTTATAAAGTAAAAGTATTTTGATTTAAGTTTATTTAAGTAAAAATTATTATGTTTATCATGCAAATATAAAAATCTAGTATATATTTCAAACTTCTATGGTTAATGTCTCTAGACAAGAAAATAAATTATACCATTAATAAATCAGTCAACATATAAATAATTTAATGCTTATTAAATTGTTTTGTTACTTTCAGTACAACGTTTTTTTTTAATAAACTACAATGAACATTTTCCGATACATCTTGTTTCAACAATTTTAAAGTTTAAAATATTAAAATTTAAATTTTATAAATGTTTTGTTAAACTGTAATAGAAATAACTATATGTGCCGGTAATACAGCTTAGACTTCTAGGTCAAGATCATTTCGTTTTATTTAACTTGCTCAATTAAAAACTGAATATGTTTTTAAAACACAAAATAGTTTCACCTGTGAAGGTAGAAATTGGACGTTTCGTGCATACGACTTTTGAGCAAATAAGTTGCCATCAACGTGACAACGTAATGATTTATACTTACGTTAACGAAGATGTTGGAAGCAGATGGAATTCGCAAGGGTTGAACTATGGCAAGCTCATAGGATTAGTCAATGATCGTTTAACCGTTACTGATTCCGTCGTAAGACTGAATACGATAACATTAAACAATATATGTGTTTCGCTGTTACAATAATATGTTTTGTGATTGTGACCGGTTTCGAATTTTCGAGTTAATAATTATTACTTTATAAATGACACAATTTGATAGGTAAGTTCGTAACTCGTAAGCGATTACGGTTGGTGCCTTGGAGATTGGCAGTACTGTAGTGACGGTTGGAAGGAAAAAATGTACTGATAATGTGTGACACACATTGCCAACCCTCTTCAGCGAGTGTGTGGAAGAGCGAAGGGAAAGAGAAACTGACAGCAATAAATAAAAACCTGACTAGCCGACCGTACGTTCCATGAGCGGCCCTTGGTGCGTGTAATCTCGACGTGTTGTCAAATAATTGTCATCGGGCCCGAGACAGACAGCATATCATTATATGATCATTGTAGAACTCGCCTGTCGTCCAATACGTATTTAATAATTTTTCTCGCGTTCTACGGACGCATCGTATAATAGTGTTGTAAAACGATTCAATGACATTCGACGGAACCCCGTCGTCCCCGTCCGTCCGATACGGTCGTCGTTAACGTGCTCTCATTGGAATTTTTTTTTGTCCTGTTTTTATCTTCACTTCGAACTATGCCTCTGCTTGTAGTCACTTGACGTCGCAAATACGCGCGCACCTATTTCATCCCGTACAGAGTGAGTAGTATGTACAATATTATGGCTGCTTGTGACTCGGGCACCGAACCGTACGAAAGCTGGGAAGCTCTGGATGATCCGTCCGTAAGTCGTGATTGATCTTATGTATTTATTTTTTTTTTCTTCCGTTTTCCGCTTTGGTCCCGACGGGAGTTCGTCCTATCCGTCGTCTGGTACGGTAAGTCAGGTGTCTGAGGTTCCCATGTAAATTAAGCCAATCTTTGAGCTTAATTTTTTAAATGTTTGAACCAACTCTTCTGTTTATCTTTTATAGGTTCTCAACACACAGATAAAAAAGATGCAACTGGCTTCTGCTAATAAAAATGAAAAGTGATTATTTTTAAAAATTATTAATATTAGTCTTATTCCTTTATAGATGCTTAACATATTTTTTGTGTATGCATATTTTTAGCAATAGCAATGTTGTAATATTACCACCCGGCTTACAATTGACGTACAGCCACCAACAGATGACAATTCCTCAGCAACCTACTGTTAAAATACTTAAGCGACCACAGAAAAATAATTCTGCTAATGAAAATGCGGACAAACCTAAAGTACAAGTTAAATCACTGGAACAAGTATGATAAATTTAGACCTAATTGTTGTTCATAATCAGTGCATTATTATTTTTGTTTTTAGAGAAAACAAGAGTATGCAGAAGCTAGACTACGAATAATGGGTGAAGAACGCGAAGAAGACCTCAATGCCGACGATGAAGGGTAATTATTATCCAAATATAAATTAATTATATAGTATTTTAAATTAATACACATGATCCATAATAGTTGAGAAATTAGTATAGAGTTATTGAGATTTAATATAATTTATGAAAAATAACTGTAAAAAAAAAAATTAAGTACATATAATTTATACATTTAGTTATGCAATTTATTATTAAAATAATGAATTTTTTGTAAATATAAAAGTAAGTATGATGTAGGTATTATTAATTAATAATAATTTATATATAAATGAACGAGTAGTTTATAATCAAAAATTCTTTCATAAAATTGGTATTTGATATTATTATTTTTCTTTAAAATGTTTAAAGCTTTTATAAAGGTATTTTTCTCATATCATAAAATATTGTCTTCTTTAAGTTCTCCAGTTTTTATTACATTTCTGGAAAAAATGTAAAACAATATATATATATGTATATATTATATTATATTATCAAATGTTTCTCTTTTAAATATTAGTTGAAGTATTATTTTATTCCATGCAATTTTTTATTGTGTTATCTTAAAATTATTTTTATTATTATATTATTATTCTAATAAGTGTCCTTTATTTGGAGTACAAAGTATAAGTGACATTATGCTTATAGAACATGTTAAATTCAAGGAAATCTAATGTTTTACATTTCATTTAAATTAATTTGTTTTTTTAAATAGTATACAAAATAAAAAATTCTTAATATTATTTTAGATCATTTATATAATACGATAATCAGAGAACAGATTTCAAAACATTTAACATCTTTAAGAAAAGTATATTTTAAATTTAACAGTTAAATATTGTATGAGTCTTTAAAATGTATTTTCGTTAAAAAAAATTTGCTTTTACTTGTAAATGTATTTTATAATAATACTAAATAATATTTTTTACATACAATTCTATGTAGTTATAATTTTGGAACTGGGTTCAAAATGAACCAATCTTAACTTTGATAAATGTCATCACTTTTGGCTAAATTTAAAAAAAAAGTATACACATTTTTATATGATAAATATAAGCAATTATATGATTCAATTTATTTTCTCCAAAAAGTAATATTGGCCTCTTTTGACGATAGCTCCCAATTTATAAAAACATGATATATTTCTATTAACATAAATAAAAAAGCTCTTTAGATAAATAAATAAGTACTAAAGTTCTATTTTATTATAATTTAATTCGTTTAATACAGTTAAGTGATTAAAAATCATAAAAAAGTTATTTAATCTTAAATTAGATAATTTTTTTAATTCATTCTTTAATATAAATAATTAGTTTAAAGCAGATGTGGTTAGATTTGAACTTATAGAAAAATGTAAACTCTTTAATCTTTATATTATTCATAAAAAATTATTTAACTTCATTGAGTTAGTTAATTTAAACTTAATAAATATTAGTTATGATACTGATAATTAGTGAAAGTTTATTTATGTTGTTATTTCAGAAAATCTATTTAATTATTTTACAATTTGCAATAAATTTATTTAAATATTTAGGTATTATTTAGCTTTAATTAAGAAATTTATGATATATAATATATTTGTTTTATTATTTCAAATAATAATTTAATAATAAACAATTAGTTAACTATTTAATATTTATAACCATTATTTTATAAAATGCAATTGAAACTTATTTCAAATTTCTTTAGGGCTAGTTCTTCGGGAAGTTCAAAATTTGAAGTACTTCGGCAATCAATAGTTCGTACAGCTGTAGCTGTTGAAGACAATGTAATTCGACAGCCACGTGGGCCTGATAACACCAAAGGTTTTAATCATCGAAGCTAACCCTAACAATTAAGGAAATTAAAAATAAATAATTTTATAAAATTATTTCAAGTTTTTCATAATAAATATATATGTATATTAACTTTAATGTCCAGTTGTAAATATTAAGAACTTGATATTAATTGAACTATACCTCAGTCATCCACAATTTTTTGACGTAAATAAATCATCCATGTTAGATTTATTTAAAAAAAATTTAGTAGGTATTTAATTATTACAAAATCTAGTCAGATGAAATTGCTAATTAATATAAACTATACAAAATATTATCTTTAAATATTCAGTCTGAGGTATTTTTTATAATTGTACATTGAAATGTAAATAAGAAATCCGTGTGCTCAATTGATGCACTCTATTTTGTTGAACAATTTAAATTAAGTATTTTTAATTAAAAACAAACCTACATTATTTGCTACATGATTCAATGGTTTTTTTATTATGGTTAATTCTGTTGTCCTAATTTTATCCAACAAACTACAATATTACAAAGTGTTATGTTGAATGTCTCCGATAATGTTAAGATTTATTTTTCAACTGTAGATGAATCTATAGTTTGAATCTTTATCTCTATTAATAGTTTTTTTTTTTTATCATTGTTAATTTTCGTTTAAGTTTTAATAATTGCAATAATTTTGTTGTAATTTATAGCTTATTGTAAATTAATATTTTGTTTCTTAACTACTGTACATTTGGTGATGGTGTTAAGAAAAGTACATTAGAAACTAGATTTCTTTATATAAACATATATTTTTTAAAATAGATTAAAACCACTGTTTAACATGTATAATTTTTATAAAACCATTAATATTTTGTAACATGGTTAAGAGATTATATTAAATAATTAAATAACTGACATGAGCATATTTTGTGCCTATTTTTATCATTATCCTTTATAAAATTTAACAATAAATAAGCCCTGTAAAATTTGTATGTATTTAGTAAAATTTAAAAACATGATAATTACTATGATACATATTTGATTTTATGTCCTTGGCAAATGATAATCTCTATGTGAATGGTGTACTTGTGCTTGGATTGAGTATACTTTTAGATGGAAATGTAGTTTTGACCGGGCACCATGATTTAGCACAAATCTGATTGGGCACACCCTTTGAATTGCACAAGCACAGATTGCAAAAACCCACAAATACCAATTCTCCGGGCTCGCATTGATCTAAAATTATAATTATTAATATAATTTATATAAAAAATATTTACACGTTATTATTAAGACAATTATATTTCATTGATGTATAATAGTCTATTGAATATAAGGTTTTATTTCTTATCATTAATATCAGTATACTTTGGAGTTATTAATTAATAGTATTTTCCAATTCAATACAAATAAGATTTAGATTTATGACTGACTAGATTTCTGTTAAAACAAACTCAATTTTTTATTCTACTGCTTATCTGTTGTTTCCATAAAGTACAGACGCATATAGGTAAAATATAGGTCTAAACTGTATTTTCTCGAATTTTTATTTAAAAATAGAAATTTATTTATTTTAGTTATACCTATGTATATTATTTCATAGTGCAAATAATTATATTAGGTTTTAAACGGTTTTTCAATGAAGTGTGGAATGTGCATAGAATTGTAGACGTCATTCATATATGAAAAAATTGATTATAAAGTGGGAATCGAGCAATATCTGAATCCTGTGAAATTTTATAAGTATCTACTTTTTCTTTAACACATCGATTATATATACGTATAATATAATTAGAAAACGTTCCGGTTTTTTTTTAAATATCACTATTGAAACGAATTTAAAATTATTTCGGTATCAAAGCAGCGATGTTATAATGTAGTTTAATTAACTTTTAGTACGAAGAATAAAAATAGTGAGCACGAGGTTCAGGGTATAATCGTACCCTGACGACACTATGTACCGCACGCGTTAATAAAAGAAAAGGGTCACAACAATAATAATATAATTTTATCATATGCATTATTGCAGGTTGGGACGTCAAAAGAAAGTACGTACCGTCGGGACTAATGTTTCTCAGACCGTGCACATCGACGACGACAGAAACCATCAGATGGAACGCGACAAAAGCAACTAATAACGAGAACGACGGCGACCTGCTGTTGATTCGCATTTTCACGGCTCGCGAATTAATGTTAATACTATTATTATTATTATTATTGACCATTCATTCATTCATTTTGCATCCGACACAAATACATATATATTGTACATTAATCACAATCCGTACGCGATCTAGACGGATTGTTGTGAGGATGTGTGCGCGTGTCGAGTGTAAAAGTGCGCGCTTGGTATAAATAGCTATATCAGGAGGTAGGTACCTACCTACGAAACGTGTAGGTTTAATATGTTACATTTAATGCATGTGAAATGTGTAATATTGATTCATTCATTTCAATACGGCTATATTATACATCGATAAAGTTATTGAAACATTATACTGTGTGCATACCACGCATATCTACAGACAACAGTACCTACGTATACAATGTATTTTAATACCTATAATTTGTTCGTATTAATATGTTGTAACGCGCGCGCCGACCTTGATTTTTAATCTGTAAATTAACCTTTAGGTAATGGCCGGCCGTTTAAAACTAATAAACGCGGTTCATAATATGAACTCCGCGTAGACACACAGGACAACCGTCATACAGAGTGTCCGGGCAATGTCGTTCTTCTTTCAGCGATAATACATCGGTAATATTATATTTTAGGTACACTTAGCGTCGGTGTTTGCGTACCAGCAAGGTTTGCTGGCATACTGGATTTTATCGGTTTCATACATTCTATAGTACGTGTTTTTTGTCTTAAAATAAATTTCTATTAGGACGCCATCAACTTTTGATTTTTGACTGGTAAATCCTCTCGAGTACCTTTGTATTGTACAACAATGTCTTAATATTGGGCAGGAGAACTGGAGGATCGTGAACATCGATTGAAAATATTGCTTCTTATACTCTAGAATAAATCCTAATTTCCGTTAAATGGATCGCACTGTATAATATAATTTCTCGTACAATAGTCCGTCGGGTGAATTGGGACTTCGTTACCACACCAATCACGGTACTTTGCTGTATTAAACATGATATTATTATAATATTACATCGATCGGTTAGTCGTAACTAATTCTTCGCGTTAGCAGAGAGATCGATTAGACAATTTTCTTTGACAAATTGGATCATTTTTTACGAATCACTTATTTTAAGCTTTTAATTATTTCGGAATTTTTATTAATATTCTCGTAGTATATTTTACCATTCGTTTTCCGATAAAATAGAACTAAAACCAATATAAATTCTGTCCATCCTTAAACCATTATAAGACATTTTTGGTTATGCCACTAACAGATGATTATTCTAATTATACCTACGTTATTCATTTCAAAATATTAATTTGCTACTTATAACAAAAGACAATAATATGGAATTAAGTTTTTAAGGGACTTAGATATTATTTATGATAACTCTCTTTTTACGAACTTTGTGAAGCAGCGGAGTGCGCAGGAATTTGGTACGAGGGGGATGTCATACATAAAAATGTATTATTTTCAATTTTTACTCTTTATTATTACTTACATATTGCTTTAATTGTTTAAATATTCTACTCAAAGAAGAAATTCCTTGGTCAAGAATTGGAAAAAATAATATTAATTATTAAAATGATCTTCACTTGTAGAATTAGAAGAACTTTCTTAGTTAAACTTTCTCCTGCGAACAATTGTTTTGCTCGTAAACTTTGTTTATCGAAAACAATTTATCATTTGAAAAACTAAATATGAAAACGTGGGGACTGTAAATTCAGAGCTAAGCTCGGAACCGGACGAAGGCCCTCCTTGGCCTGCCTTAGGGACAGCCCTGCTTAGTATCGTTTGCATGTACACTATAAAATATAAAATATGTTATGTAGATTTCAGAGCCATTAAAATTGGATGTTGCCAACGTTGAAAACAGTAAAAATTAATTTGAACAATAATTTAACGCACTAGATAAATTTTACACATTTTGATCGATTAGCGATTTTTGTGATAGCAATATATAATTATGTCATTACGATAAAATTGAACGTGCCTTTCAAAATAGCCTTTTAACTTTCAAATACTTTCCAATAGGTAGGTTAAACGTGTTAGAGTCTCACTGTGTGTGAACGCGTCCTGTGTCGTCTGCCTTAATCGCGTGGGCGCGTGTGAACGTAATAATATTTATATCAAATGTCCAATGTGACGACACATATTTGTACATTTTATGTATTTAAAACGATTTAGAACAATTTTATTTTTTTTCTGCGCCGTTGAAGTGGGACCTTATACTAGCGTATACGCTTCACAAATATCCAAAAATTACACGATGACATCATACAATAGTGCGCTTATAATTATTTCGGTTTTGGTATTTCAAGTATTTCAGAAGTGTGACCATTTAATCTTTGCGATTATAAGTATTATAAGCTGGATACTGTATAATTTTTAGGAAATGTTTATTGAAGTACTTATATAATCAATATCCACTTGGTTAAAGTACAAATACGTTATATTAAGTTAAACTGTTGAAATATAAATAAGTTTTATAGTTGATGTATGACAATGAATTAATTAAATTTTATACATTTATCTTAAAATGGATTTCATTCTATATTACTTAATGTTTTTGTCGAATAAATTTCAAAACTACTTTTTTTTTATTGCAAAATAAAAATAAAATATAATTAAATCAGGACGGTTGCGAAAAAAAACCAAATTTAACGAGTCCTGTTAGACTTAAGCCTCGAGACATCGGAAGTAACTTGTTTACCCAAAATCCTACGTAATTGGTTCCTCGTTTCGAATCGCTTGTACAGACGGTGAACTTGATATGAATATTTTGATCGGTTTTCTGTTGCCGGGATCGGTAGCGAAATCTGGTAACTCATCCAGCTCACACGTCACTGATATCATATGATGACATAATGTGAAAACAATGGATGTTCATAAAGTTATCCTTACCAAGTTGACATATAAACTTCAAACCTATGTCACTATATTGCAAATTAAATTTATATATTTTTCAAATCACCTCCACTTGGCAATAAACAATATTCGATTGGGGGAGCTAACTTCATGTAGCTCCACCAAGTTAACCGATTTAATCGGAACCAACGTCATTATTTTGCAAATAATTGTAAATTAATTTTTACGATTTGCAAATTAAATTTCTAATTTTGTCGATTTTTTGCGAATTTTTGCCCGCCCCATCAAAATGATCGAACCAAACTTACAACCTCGGATAATTTTGGATAGTTTATTTAAACATATAATATTTAAACATAGATCAGGAGGAGAACATATTAATTTATACAATTCTTTAATTTCTGCATATTTTTTGTTAAGATGGTTTTTTTTAAATAATTACCAGTTTATGATAGGAGGGGCAAACTTGTACAAAAATTATTAATATAAAAATGATGGTTTTTGTTCTGTAATGAATGATAAATCTTTTACAACACAACAGCATAAATTTTTTTCCATATTGTCACCGACTTTACCTTAATATAACTCAAAATTCCATAAGTACCTACCTACCCTTTTTTATCTGCAAGTGACCAAACCTTTTATCCCTTTTTAATGGGTTTTCTCGGCATATATTGTTTCAAAGTAGATCGTCCTTTAAATTTGATCATTAATTCGTCGACCGCAATAATTTTCTTAGTATAATAATACTTACAAAATTATATTTTAAAATTATTAAATATGGCCGAACTTAATAACTGAATAAAGTTTATCATAACCTATTTCACCTTTTTTAGGTATCATGTTATTGTAATTTAAGTGTATAGTAGAGAGGCTCGTATTTAGGGAGGACAGGTAGGCATATGCTCGGGGGCGTCAAATTTCAGGGGTGGCAACATATTTTAACAAAATTAATTTTAAAAATGATTTACCTAATGAAAAAAAATAAAAAAGTATGTTTTACTATGTCATAATTTGTAAATCAAAAAAAAAAAAATTGTATTTTTATTATATTATAATTTGTTAATTAAAAAAAAAAGGTAATTGTATGTTTTACTATGTTATAATTTGTTAAAGAATCTCGATTATGGACGAAATAATAAATGTTATATTATTATTATTTATTTTTGGTTGGGGGGACATAAATTATATGCTGGGGGGGCAATTTTTTAAATACGGGCCTGATAGTAGACAGCAATCAACCAAAACGATTAACCATCATTAATTGACTTATATAACTGTCGAGAAGGTCTAGTGCTGATGACCAATAATTTCGATAGCTAGATAATCTTTTAATACCCATCAATATATTTATATCTATAAATGTCATAATTTCTTGATTGGTAATTTTCATATACAATTTTTCTGTCTTCATATATCTTTGCTGGGCATAAAAATTAGTTTGTTTTACTATTAAATTAACGAATCCTTCGGAAATATAATAGTTTGAAAACTGAAAATGGTGTATGATCTTGTTTTTTGTCGATTAAATCACTAGGGCCTGTTTTTCCAATAAATCGGATAATGGGTTCATTAATAATTCATCGTTTTTTAACCATGTCGGTGGTATGAAATTGAATTCGACAGACTTTTTGGTATGATAAAACACTTGAATTTGTAAAGAATTATCAATATTTGAAATATTCGGTAAAAGTACCTCTGGTGTAGGAGATACCTGGGTAAGTTGTCGAATTGTTTATAACTCATTAAGACTTTAATCAAAAATTACAATTGTTCCACAAGATACTAAACAGTTTTTCCAACATCTAATATTTCTTGATTGCGGTTCCTATGAAAAAGTCATGATTTTCTGTTATCAGTTTTGTTAAACCATTATTTCCGTTAAATGTTTTTTTCACGTAGTCTTAAGGACTATTGAATCTTGGTAAGTAAAAATGTATTTTTTGTTTTCTTTGTTAAGTAGTATATTTTCCGTAGATTATTTTTATGTAAAGTTTATAACCATAATGTATAATGTATATAGACTAAATTTATTGAATTTTCCATTGTGTGAGGATTTTTAAAAAATAAATAGGGAACAATTTTAATTGTATACACTAATAGAAATATTATATGTACTTATTTACATAGTTTTTGGTTTAACTATGCCAAAAAAATTATAAAAAGAAAAATATTAAAACTCTGACTACTAATGATTTTGTTTATATATATATTTTTATATATATATATATATATATATCAATATAGATATTTAATTTGTTATTATAAAAATAAGTGAAAATTGTTATATCTAAAAAAGTGTTTTAGATTTCATTTTGAATGATCAAATTATACTATTTTTTTTAATTAAGATATTTAATGATTTTATTATTTAATAGTTTTATTTATATTGAACAGGTACATTTGTATTTGTTTAGCGAAATATTTACTTATTTTAAGAGGTTGATAATTTATTATTTAACATTATTAAAACTTTTAGTTTAGCATTTACGGGCACTATATATTGTAATGAAACATGATGTCAATTTACCCCATCTTCCGCGTAAGATGGCGAATTTAAAAAAAAAACTATATACAATGAAAATTAAGATGTATTTATTTGTTATATATAATCTGTGAATATCTTAGCAGATATTGTGAAAATTATAAACTTTTATCTTTTAAATTGAACTATTTAAAAATGTTTAAATCTTAATGTCGCCAACTTACCCAAGTCTCCCCTACTTAAAGTAATTGTTGAACTGGACGTAGGACCGGAAGAAAATAATGAACGAGAAACAATTTTACTAATAGTTCTAAAATTTTTACAAATTTTATATGGACTAGGTAATTTTAAAATTTCATTGTCATTCAAATTTAGTATATCTGCTAAATATTTATCTGCATTAACTGTATCATCACTAGCTTGATTATCTTCTACTACCATTATGGTCTTTTTATAGATATTTTATTATGATTATTATTATCATTATGGCCTTTTGTAGAGGTAAGTAGTCCTGGTTTTCATCTGTATCATCTACTGTCGTATAACTTTGATCGTCTAATGGCAAATCATTGTAAACACAGTCACATACAGAATTCTCGTTTAATTGCAAAGAACTCATTTTAATAATTATTATGCACATAATAAACACTACCGTAACGGTCGATTAGATTTTGTAAACTGTCCATTTTCAATGTACCTAATTTCTAAAATCCAAATAATGTTATTTTCACCGTCAGTAAGAGAAAAACAAATTTTACAGTACGTAAAAATAATCTTATTAATAAACCTAATTC